CATTTAAATCGCAAGAGCATCTGGTATTAATCTGCTATTCATGATTTAAAAACATAGTTCAGAGCAAGTCTCGAAGACATCCTGGAGAAGTTCTTAAGTTTATTCAAGACAAATTTTTATATTTTTTCTTACTCGGCTTATTAAATTAGGTTTCATATTTGTTTGAGAAAAATAAGCGATTTTTATTAATTGTTGCCCATGTTTGGGATAGTCGAGGGATTTCGAACTCGTCCCGTGTGTAAATATTCACATTGTTCCATTGTAAATAGATGTTTCTGAAAGTGCATTTTTTTGCCCAATTTTGTGACACATTGCTTTCTGTGTAAAAGCAATTTATATCCTGTGTCGCTCTTTGCCTAATTTACTCGTTTATCTTTCAAGCCTTCTCAGAGTAGCTCAATCAATGCGAACGTCTCTTCGTTTTGTGCCATGAGAATCTGCTCCTGCAAGCCGGCTGGCAACTGTTATCTGCGTAGGTTGTAAGCTCTGCCAGCCTCTCTAGCACTCTTGGTTGATTCATGTTCTCAATCTTCCCTTTTTCATTATTCTCTTCTTTTTGCGTTCCTCTGGCAAGTGGTCTGAGTTAGAGGGTGGCTTAACATCTCTCCCAAAATTCTGATTCCCGCAAGTATACCTCATGAAATTCCATCTTATCCTCCGACTGGATGCAAAATTTTATCCTTTTTTTGGGAAGGAATAGACTAGTGGAGTCAGTGCACTAGGTCAATTTGATCTTTTTCTAGAATTACGATTACGATCCCATCACTCAGTTTTCGCTTAATGGATAAACTCGAAGGAGATAAAATCAGTGTCAGTTGCTGATTGGTTTTTGAATTAAGTGGGTGGAGATAAATTGAACTCGGATTTGGCTCCAAGCGCTCATCACAACGTTGTGAGCCTCGTCTGAGCGCCCCATTTATGCAATTTGAACGCATTGACAGCAGGAAGTGTGCGGCTCTCTGCTAGCTTCTTCACTATTCACAATCCTATCGGATTTCTAAATAGGTCAAAACAATGTTCTCAGTTGACGACATTTTAGAAGGTGACTTTTATCTTTAACGTTTACTCGGAGATGTTCGATTCAATATGGAGCGTCTCGGATGATCGAGTTCACATTTTTCGACCCTTGACGTTTCTAATGCAACTCTCCTTTTAAATTTTCACTTTCATGACCCCTTTCTTCATCCATAGCATCGAATGGTAACATTTCAGGTAAAATGTGGCCGGAGGGGTTACAAATGGATCAAGAGATTTTGCTGGATGCCGGTGCGCAGCTCCACCGGTTGAAGATGTTCCCGTATTTTGACATTGCCCACTACATTCTTGTAAGTTCAGTTTTCTACTTTTCTCATTCGGTTGTTTTGGCTCTAGGGTGAAGTTGGAATGTTAGCGTTTTGTTTTAGGAGGAATTGAAATTTTGAACGAGTGTTGCTTTTGAATCTGCCGCGCGTGGCTTTACCTAATGAGTTCGCGGCAGCGGTTACATTATGCTTTCTATAAGCCTATATGTACCTTTGTGGAAGTGTAATATCTCCACTCAATTGAGTCTGATATTTACCGCACTGGAGATTCCTTTGAACCTTGTCACACAGTCACAGAGTTGCGTTGCCGGTTTAATTCCTGGAGATTGCTTTATTCAGCCTACTTTTATTTTTTCTATACGCTGTGTTCTTGTCTAAACAGCATTTAGTGAGGTACCGAAGGAGGTTGGTAATTGGCTTCTTAGATGAAAGGGTTCTTTTTAGATGATCTGCGAGGTACGTGACGATCTTGCCTCCTCAGCTAGCCTCTTCTCTCGCAAACATCCGTTATCATGTTGGTTGTCCTCGATGCTGATGTGCTTTGCGGATTCGTTTCTAGCCAATTTCCTCCTTGGTGAACCTGTGATTGCTCCATTCAAACGACATGATGACATCGTTTTGGTGAGACCTTTTCAATGTTTGCACTGTTTTTCTTGCCAATTTTATCGTTACCCTTCTACATTAGGCGACAATCGTGTGGTACCTCGTCTTCTACGCGCCCTTTGATGGTATCTACAAACTCTCTAAAATTATGCCCGTCTATAGTGTGCTATCAGTGATGAAAGAAGTGAAACGAGCTTACAAGGTGAGTTATTTTGTTGATTGTGGTCTCAAGTTTAATTTTTTTTGAAATGTTCTGTGGCTTACATGGGATGTACCGCGAACACTTTGTACAGTTACAAATAGAAGAATTCGCAACAGTTTCGGCTCTAATTTAAGCAACGTGTAATTTAGCCAACTACTTGGATTCCTCTTTTACGGGTGCGGGTTGTTCCCGTCATGAAATGGGCAGTCTTATTTACAATTCAAGCAGTAAAAAGTAGTCTGTAAAAAAGTTAGCAGAGATTTGTATGCATAGGTTGGGAGCCGAATCACGAAGCTCATTGCTTCACAAGTCAAGGATATGAAAAGGTTTTAACCGGGCGGTACGGATCTCTGAACTGCGGTGCCATGCCTCTGACGCGCTGCTCTACTTCGCTTACCCTAGCTGCGTGAATGGATGGGTTCTACAGCACCCATATGTACATAGAAGCTTCAAATCTCGTGAGATGCCGATGAAAAGAAATCAAGAACAGTTTATTGAGCTAAGTTCGTCCTTGTAAATAATGTAAACTTGAATAATAAAATCGTTAAACAAAGTTCTTCCTGGTGAAGTAATGTAAACTTGAAAAATACATCGTCGTACTCATAATGAGGGGCAGTAATGTGCTAGAATATGATTTATGGTTCAAGTTCAAGTTACCGATTTTCTGGTTAGTGTATCGCTGTAAAATCTTCTTCATGGAAGTGTTCTTAGTCATAATTATCGTTAAGGTGACTCATGGAGTATCGCACGCCGCGAAACTATATCCAAACTCCTACATCGTGCAAGTTCTAGTGGGTACGGCAAAGGGTGCTGGATCTGGAATTTTAAGAACGATCGAACAGGTCGGATATTCCACTCGGTTAGATCTACTGCACCAATCACTTAATACGTATTTCAGTTGATACGTGGCGTTTGGCTACCGAATCATAACGAAGCACTTCGTCCATCATTCGCGACGAAGGCTTGCTTTCTTGCCTCAGTCATATTTGCGTTGGAGAAGAACAGCGTATATATTACGGCACCACATGATCTGGTCTATTTGGTTCGTTTTGCTTTTTTTGTCCCTGTCATGAAATTCTAGCACATTTTTCCATTGATCGATATATTGTTTAGCACAATAGTAATGTTGACCGCTTTTTAGTTGAAAAGTTTCGCGAAGTTGTTTATACTTTCAGGGCGTAGTCGGTTTTCTGGTGTATTTCAAACTTTCTGCAGTCCTACTTCATGTAACGGATCCTTTCGCTCCGATTGAGAATCTCTTCTGCGCAGTATTCATGGGAGGCATCTGGGACGCACTGTCAAGGTACTATTTTTGAATCTTAATGAAGTTAAGATTTAAAAGTACAAGATTTAAAAGGAGGCTAGTGTGAGAGGAACAACAGATATGAGTATATGTATACGACTCTGGCAGCAAGTTCGTATAGCTGGTCTGCCACAGGCCAATGGTTATTCGGACTGGGGTTTAAGAGCAGCGGAGTTCGCGTTTTTCCGGTTCAATTTACGCTTGTAGTGGGCTGCCACGTACGACTCTCTCGAGGATCCTTGGCATTGCGTAGTGTAAGCTATTTGCTCGAACTTTGCAAGTGGTTGATAATAGCGTTGTACAGTTACGTCCGGCGAAATACCTCTAGAGCTTTCGAAGCAGAAACGGAAGTTTATAAGGACAAAAGGGGTGCGTTGCAGTTCTCCTTCTCAGGTCAGCTCACTTAAAATTGAGACACCACTCATTTGAAGCAAGCTTAGGACTTACAATTAGCCTAGGCCCAAGCATAGGCTTAAAGGCAAAAGTCGGGCTCAATAAGGGGGTATTATGGCGATTGAAACTGAGTATAGAGATGCGAAGTGGAACGACAGTGGAGAAAAAACTGAGAAAAACCGTCGACAAGGCCGTTAACAAAACCCTCTTTCCCACTAGCAGTGAAGGAGGCTGGCTTGGGAAAGAGGCACGTACAAACAAGTTTTCTGGAGATATCAGTCGTTCTATCGGTTGATACGGCAATCAACCTAGCTGATTCACACGTTATGCCAGCCACGCACCACATCCCGAGGTGGGCGGTCGTAGCGGGGCAGGCGGCGATAGCGCTTAATACGTGCCCTGGGCCTTATTACGGCGCCGTTTGGGATTCTGAGCATGGTAACGTCTCTGTGGGTGCGTAGCCATGCACAAAGACGACAAAAGGGATTGGTTTGGTCCACTAAGCCTGACTCGTGCCTTTAAGCATATCTCAATGTGCAAGCATAAGCCTGAGCCTGAACCCAAGCTCAGCCTCGGGTTTCGAGTTGTACGGCCAGTCCGCTAAATTTCGTGCTAGTTGAGATAGACGATTTCCTGCAGTCAGCTGTTCAACACTGTTTCAACTTCCTCCAAATTTTAAACAAGTAGAGTTATACTTGTGGTTGAATTGCGGAAGTTGTATTCCATCTTTGTTATCTTCTACTTCCATTAAAAACATTTTTACAAAGCCGCTACAGCTTTGAGCAAGAATTCTGGCAGAAGAGAATATTCCTCGTCTACTAGAATTGGCTGAATGCCAACTAAAAGATACGAAAGGATAGAGCATCTTATCAATCTCTCGATCGAGAAGTCGTGGATGACTACAATTCAGAATTATGAAACAGTCTGACCATAAATCAGCTCTGTGCATGCCATTGAAAGCTCACCCGATGGCAAAGTGGGTGTTCTACTACTGTCATAAGGCAACAGTAATGGTTATGAACTTTCATAAAATGATAGGGGACCTTTGGAAAACCTGGCTCTGGTCTACAAGTTTCTCACGACGGAACAACTGAGCTGTTCAGCCATTCCTGCTTTCTGTGAATTCTGTTTTGACCGTTAGAACATACTCACTTTCGCTTTCTTTCAAAATAATTGTGGTGGGGCAAAAAAAGGAAGAACCGTGCCTAGGTGTACGTTGGGGTGGTGAAGACAGCTGCCGCTACAACTTCTTATGACAATTTTTTATTTGTAGAGCGCTGGCTGCAGCTCGCGAACGACGTGCGGCTGGACATGCGACAGAGAACGGAACGATCTCGAGCGGTGAAAAAAAGGACCAATGATTTCATCATTTTTCCTTACCTAATTCACATATAGAAATAATGATGACAAAGGTCTTCGCAGACATGACTGTAATGCTTTTAAATGATAGCTTTATGGTTTTTGTCATTTATTCATTGTAACGATTGCCGACTCTCCCGCTCCGGTCACCGGTGAACTGCCATTGTTGACGCTCCAGATTTTTAGTGCTAGATGATTGCTCAATTGTAATATTCTGAGTTCCGATGAAGTTTTCACGAGTACCCGATAGCAAACGTTTTTACATATAGGATGTTTTCAAGAAGGCCTTACATCTAGCCAATAACTACTTAAAATACATGATCTGGTCGTTGCGCTTTAGCTCACGAGATTATTATATCGGATTGAGCTCTTGGATCTTATTACTTGTAATGAACATTTAATCGACGAGTTAGTATGTTGATTTGATTGCATGGTGTGATGTAATGTTTACACTAATACTTTATCGAAGTTATGAATCTACTGATCTCCTATCATCAAGTTATCCTATTGCAGAGAGTGCCACATGTTACCCATTTCCTTATAGTAATTGATAATCAGGAGATGGTAAGCTGTAAGCAGAGTGAGGAAATGGGAAAGTCTTCTTCAGCTAGGCTTGATCAGATTCAGGTAGGTACGGTTTTTCTCTGCTGGCTGTTGAATTCTGACAAACAATAGTACATCTTGGAAAAACCAAATGATCAAAAAATGGCAAGGAGAGGTGCATAAAAGTAAGCCGTCGGAAACTGTCGACCGGCAAAATTAAACTTTTTCTCGTTGATGTGAGTTACCTAAGAAGAAAATGTGCAGGAAATTAGTTCTCAAACTATTAGGTCGTGAAGAAAGTTCTTGCGCTTTTCGACCTTGATTTTCAAATGCCTGTATCTCGGCTCATTCGAAACCTTTTTGATTGGAGTAAAGACTGTTAGAATCCACAAACCTCTGCCAATAATAGCTGCGTTGAATCAGCCCGGTAGTGCAGAATACTGGAGCTCTAGAGACGATGAACCCGGCGGAGGTCGTTTCCGCATCATGTTGGTTTTTGAAGCATAACTCTTTGGAGAAGCTATCCAGGTAGTCCGGAGAAAAGTGAGAAAATAATGGCAAAGATCACCCGAGCAGAAGTATAACAGGAACACCGTGGCTCCGTACCCTGAACCGCAGGACTAATTCGTAGCCAATCTTGTCGAACTTCTGCAGGGTTGGTTGTGGAATGTGCGTCCGAGCTACCTGTCAGGGACGAGCCGGTTCCTTTATAATGAGGAATTTCGAGCATATGTGCCAGAGTTCTAGGAGTAGTTTGACACATTATCAGGAGTACTTTTTCCACATTAACAGATCCACCTGGGAAAAGTGTAGTGACAAGTGGCGCGCTTACTCACGCGAGCGGTCCGGGGGATCAAATCCTGGGTCGTGAGTCGCCCGGGCCAACCAAGCCTTCCATCCCTCCGGGGTCGGTTAATTGGTACCAGACTTGTCTGGGAGGATAAAAAAACTGACTTGAACATCGGCTGGCCCCCGCAAGTCATTGTATAGGCCACATCGCATTCAAATGCCACTACGAATGTACAAATGGAAGTAGAATGCGTGCCGCATCCCAAAAAGGGATTGATCAACGGCAAATGCTTTATCCTTTATCCTTTACAGACCACCTGTTAACAAAAGCTAGACCAGCCGCTGACCTTATGAAAGTCACCTCAACCTTCCTTCAGTGAAGTTTCACTTTTGCAAAGTTTGTAGAGCCTGATCGCGGTCGATCACTTCACCAAAGGTTCGTATTCTGTAGCAAAGAATCCGTTCTTTGTCGTGCGTCGCAAATGATCAAAAAGTCAGGTCGTTTTCATGGCATGAAACAAGCTAGAACGCGGCGAACGACCCTTCAAAATGGTGAGCTGTCGCGGCACGCCCTCCCATGTTGAATTGGACTTTCCAGCTCTTCCTGTACACAAATAAAAACCATGCAACGGTGATTATTGGGACTCTCTCGAGAGTCTATCGCAAACGCGCTTCAACCAGAACGTTCGCTAATCGTTGGCGTTGTCCAATCTCCGATCACCACCCTCACAATCTTTAGGGCTCTCGCTATTCTTACAAAAGCTTTTTGAACAATTGCTTCAGACCATATTTATTGCGAATCTCAGCCAAGTGCGTCTATAATATCTTGACCTGCTTCCTCTCCATACTGGCCTGCTTTGAGCTAGAAAAAGGAAATCATGCAAATTTGCTCTTGGAGTATGCCGTATTCAAGGCTTCAAAAAATGACAACTAAAATGATAAGAAACATAGCTAGCGCCTAGCTGCTAGATAGAACAA